CTCTTGAGCCACCACAAGAGGAAGCACCACTTCGACAAATTCATGATGTAGATGACTTGGACAACATTGAAGTTCATGAGGTACTAGATGAAGATGATTCAATCACTGAGATACAGAGGAAGCAAGTGAGGTTGTAGCTGTTGAAAGAAATGGACAGCGAGGTTCTCCATCACGAGATGAAGAAAATGAGGTCGTAGCTGTTGAAAGAAGTAGGCAGCAAAGAACTACTACTACTACATCAAGCAAAAAACATGAAAAGGAAGAAAAGAGACCTAAGAAGGGTGAAATGATTGAAGAAATGATGGGGAGATACCTAGACATGAGGACTAAGCAAGTACAAGATGAGTCTGCAGATCTAGCCAAAGAAAAGGAGGTTGCTGAAGGTAATGACTTCTCTATCAAAAGGTGTATATCCGTTCTGAGCACAATGGAATTGACAAAGGAAAAGAAGGCAAAAGCATTTGCAGTTTTCATCAAGAGCAAAGAAAATAGAGAGGCCTTCCTAAGTGGGTGTGAACTAGATCGAGAAGCAACTTTGGTTTGGCTCAAAAGTGCGATGGTCTAACAGGTCAGTCTACTTAATTGCTAAAAACTTGATGTTTTCCTTCTATTTTTTTACGTTATTTAGATGAGTAAACTTAGTACCTTAGTACCTTAGTGGCTAATTAATGGACTTATATCAGTAAGATTTACGTCATTTAGATGAGTAAACTTAGTACCTTAACCTTGCTGTAAACTGGCATCCATGTTCATAAACGAAACTGTTCTAACTTAAGCTCCCAAGATTGATGTCAAAACTGTCTTTCAGAGTTTCAGGTTCAGTGTTCAGAGTTTCAGTATTTTCAGTCCAGCTCTAATTGTTTAGTTTAAATTATTATTAATATATGACTGTACTATTTATAATTATTAAAGTCAAACAACAGTTTGAAGCATATTTGGATCCTCAACTCATTGTAAATCATTGATCACTTGTCAACAAGAACTGTACTATTTAGAAGAGCACAACTCATCTGTATAGTAGGCAAGGCCTACTTGGCTATTTTTTTAGTAGATAGGTGCAGTACTATTCATTCAGTCCCTTGATGAAGTGTAGACTTAAACAAAGACTGATCTCACTTGGTTGTGTGTGCGTGATGTGTGTGTATATATGCGTGGGGCTGAAGGGTTCTGCATAAATTTGTCTTTTTAATAGCTTGGTAGAATGGATACATTCTTTGTGATGCAGCTATTGTCTCAATCTGCATATGATAGTCTAACTCGCATATTTATTCTCAAACCGCACATGATAGCCAAACAATGAGATACACTTTTGTCTTTAATTTTTTGCCTCCTATCTAGGGAAGTTCTTTAGATCAATTATTTAGATCAATAGAAATGCAAGGAATGAAGGGCAGGCCTGGTGCAAGCGGTAGAGTTTTACCGCCTGTGACCGGAAGGTCCTAGGTTCGAGTCGCGGTCTCCTCGCATTGCACAGGCGAGGATAAGGCTTGGCACTGACACCCTTCCCCAGACCTCTGCACTGGGTATGCCCTTTAATACAAATGCAAGGAATGTTCTGTTCATAGTTTGAAAAAATTACTCAGCGTGATGTGTGACATAAACAATTGCACTTTTTCTAGGTGCACATAGAATATCTTGAGTTTTGTTCATTTGCATTTGGAAAATGAAGAGCCAACACATGTAAGTTGGCATTGATAGCTGCATGTCATTCTAATTGTCGAAGAGGAAATGCATTTCAGAATCAAATTCCAAGCTGTCCTATTTCAGAAATGCATTATATTTTTTTCACGACTGTGCCGTATACGTTTTCATTAAGATGGAGAATTATATGTATTTTTGCCATATGTACATATTTCTTTATTTTACCAAACTAATAGTTTGTTTGCACCCCTCCACCTCTTTCTATTGGTTGACAATTGCTATATCATAATGTCCAACGTTTCCATTTCAGGTTTTGGAGAACCTAAGGATGCCGAGGTAGTACAAGGTGCCCATAACGTTTCTGTTTCTATCAAGTTCTTTGCGTAGAACCCTTGCATTTTAAACATTCAGAGATCTAATCTAAGATTTATGCGGATGTGATCTTGTGGAAACAAGAGATTACTACAAGATACAAATGAGTAGAAGACCCTTTCAAAGTTTCAATACATTGATTTTTGTTTGTTAGATGATCGGTGATATGGATCGTATAAATTCTTCAAGGGAACTATCGATTGTAATTTGTTGTAAGAGTATGTTGTCTGCTGATGCACTTTTGTATTCCTTATCACTTGAATTTACTATTTGGTTGCAGACTTGTAGTTGCCTCGATGCACTTTTGTCGGTTAAGCGTGCGGATATGTATACATGTTATCGATTCTCTCACTCAGATTCATCCACAGCTAACCGAACAACAAATAGGAGCAAGGGGATTGGTTCTGCTAGGGAATTAAACCCGCCCAGGGAATGAGTGACAGCAAGGGGATCAACTCATTCCTGGCCTGGATTGATTCAACTCCTGGATTCGTTCCTTTGCTGCCGAACGAGGCCTTATGGATCAGGTCTATCTATGACACTCAAGCTTATGATTTTGTGTTTTGCTCCAGTGGTCCTCTTTAAAAACTCTGTACGGATCTTAAAGCAGCTTGGTCATAAACTATAATTACTAATTTCATCTTGGACTGGATTTTTTTTACAACAATCTTGGACTTGGATTGAGGCCGGTCCTAGAATTGTGTTAAGTTAGGTTTTTGAATAAATCATTTCTTATAATTGTCTTAAGTTAGGTTTTTCTATGTTTGACTGAATTTATAGAAAAAACATAGAAATATTTATGGCACCAAATAAACATATTACAAAATATATTTTATGGTGAATCTAATCTTGTTATTGCTAATTGGAGGCCCCAACAGAGACAACACGTTAATTCTTACCAGACATGCTAGGAAAAGAAATAAATTCTCGAAATTCTCACAATATAATAGACTCTAATCATCATTGCTATTATAATTTTTTTTAAAAAATTACCCCCCTCTGCCATTATGAAAACTGCATAATATAACCTCCTAATTTTGCATATAAATTATCCACCTCTACTATTAGGAAAATAATTTAAAATAACCCCTACATTGTATCTAATTACCCACATATGTCATTATGAAACATAATTCAAATAACCCCCTAAATTTGCGTCTAAATTACCCACCTTTATCATTATAAAACATAATTCAAAATAACCCCTAACATATTGTAGCTAAATTACCTATACTTTTCATTATCAAAAATAATTTCAAAATAACCCTCTAACTTTGAAACCAGATTACACACATCTACCATTATAAAAGATAATTTAACATACCCCTAACGATTTTATAAATTACCCACACGTACCATTATGTCAATTTAATATTAGTAATTTAATTTTGAGCACTCTATCATGCATAGAGCAATACTACACAAAAAATCTTGTGATATAACAAATTGGCACCCTAACAAATTCAACATGTTTAGTTTTGCGGTGTAAGCCGGTGTAAAACAATACTACTAGAACCTCGACTCTTTTTAATAAAAAAACAAATTTTGAATAAAAGATGAAGAACACTAAAGTTTCTATTTAACATGTGAAAATTTTAAACGTCTTGATTAAAAGTTAAAAGCTAAACTATAGATTTATGAAGTCATAGAAAGGAATGTAACAAGAGTTTATATATCCTAAGTACATTAGAAAAAAAGATAAATTCTAAAAATTCTAACTAGGGTTCCTCGTCGAAGCCTGCATCCTAGAAATTCTCACAAAAATAAAAAAACATCTCACCAATGACATTAATAGCTATTAGATATATTCTATTTCCTAAAAAATTATTATCCACCTCTGCTATTGTGTAGAACAATATAAAGTAATTCAAGACTTATTTACATGACCCACATACACCATTAAGAAACATGATCTAAATTAGACCTAAATTTACATCTAATTACTCACATCCTCCTATCATGATCGATGATTTGCATAGTTCAGAAGAGAGAAGATATAGTGCATAAACCTTGGATCCCTACTGAAGATTAAAAGATGCCTTGGCTGCAAAAGAGAGCCATAGATTTAGAAGAATCACTAATGAATCTTAGTGATTTTACCACAGTAGTTTTTTAAAATATCATTTCTGATTATTTTTGTAGTTTTACTTGGGTTTAGAATTTGTTTATCTATATAAATCAGATGTTCTCCCCAATTTTGCTAGATGTGTACGATATCTTCTGTTTATTAAAATAACTAACTTTTGTGTACTGGTGCTTGTTTTTGGTTGACCAATGTAAACATTTAATTTTCCTCCCAAGAGGAATGTTCTGCAATATATTAAATCCACCAATGATAGGGTCATATTCTAGATAACAATAGATACAAAGCATTTTTTAAATGAATAGAAATCTGTAGCTAGGTTGCAACACGTACTTTTACTCGCATGGAGCTAAAAGCTCAGTCTTTTCTTGGTTCAATGCCAATGACATGTATAGGAGCTACGGTTTCTTTGGTTGGGTTTTTTTTTTTTTAATAGAAGGCAAACTTTATTAGCAGCATCGTGCTGCAACGTTGGTGAATAAGTCACCAATTACAGATTGTAAGACTGTCCTAGTAGGACATCTATTCACATGACTAGCATATTGTCACAGATGACCTGCAGTTGAGTACTACTAGAGCTCAATGATCTAAAAACAGTGAAGCCAAAATAACAGCAAACTGTGAAGGGAGGCAAAAAAAAAAAAAAAACAGCAGTAAATATATAGAAGGCGGCAGCGCCCGTGAACGAACGACGATTTTACATTGGAATCAAACAACTTAACCAAGGTTCAACCTGACAACAGCTAGAGCATTTTTATTCTAGGACGATTTGCGTGCACGTGCACGTGCACACTGCATACCCGCTACTACCAGTCGCTATACAGCCAGCTGATCGATCTCTCGGTCGCTACACAAAAACGCAAGTGCGACCACGATCCCGGCTGGCCTCCTCTGACGCAGTCACCTAGATGTACTTGCCCGACGCCGGGTACGTGCTGCCGGCGGACGGGTACGCGGGGTCGACGGCCGCGCCGGCGCCGTGGCGGCCAGTCGTGGCGGCGTCCGCGCGGTGCTCAACCTTCTCCTGGTGCTTGTCGGCGCTGGCCTGGTCCTTCTTGACGCGGGCCGCCTCCTTGGCCATCTCCTTCTCGCCGTGCGTGGCCGCCGTCGCCTCGCCCGTCTTGCCCTGCATCTTTGCCGCCGCCTCCTTCGCCTTCTCCTTCGCCTCGCTCACCATGTCCTTCGCCTTCACCTTCGCCGTCTGCATCCTGTCAAAGCTGTGCTACCACCAGCTGAGCTGGCTACCCTCTAGCTAGAGAGTTCACTTGGACGGAAAGGAATGTGTGTGTGCTTCGACTGCGACTCTGCGTCGTATGCTGGATATCAGCAGTGGGCGGTAGCTGCCGGAATTTATAAAAGCGGCCAGGCTGGGCACTGTTTGAATCTTCAAAACGCGACGTGGGCGGCATGCAGTGGCTGGTGAGCAACCGGAGCTGCACATCGCACCGTGAGGTGGCAGCCTCGGCGGGCTCGCAGCCTCTGACCCCGCCGCGTGCCCTGTGTGGCAGATGTCGGTGCACTGCGTGGGCAAACCGGATCGTGGTGAAGGCAGACATCATCATCACCTAGGGAATGTGTGCTGAGCGGATCAGCGTCACATCGCGGATCAGCGTCACATCGCCGTATACGGCCTGGCTGCTGTACGCGTGTAGTATCGTTGTCGGGTATGGTTGAAAATTGTTAAAGGCCTACTTGAACGGAGAATTAAAAACAACACACGAATGAAATGTATATAGTATGAAATAGATAAATAGAAAATGATATTTTTATATGAAGAAGGTGTTTGATAAGTCACTAGAAGTCTAGAACACAGGAAATATAAACAATGGGGCTCTAGTGAGATTTTTCTATAATTTTCCCCTAAAATCAAATGCAAAGAAAAGTTTTCTATGTTTTTTATAACCTATTCTTGTGAACCAAAGAACGTGAATAGAAACTGTACATTTTTTCTTTGTTTTTTTCTACAATCAAAGGACTAAAAGGTTGTTTTTGACACCTTAACTAAAAAGTTCATTTTTTTCTTTATCACATATAAAATTGGATTTTTATTCTCTTCTTTTAAAACCATTTATTTTGAAACTAGGGTTTGTCCTCTTAATGCTATATTCCTTCCTTTCCAAAAAGAATGTTGCTTTAGATACATATATGTCTACTAGGCTCATACCTAAAACAACGGTCTTTTCAGGATGGAGAGTATTAGTCATACTACATGACACCATGTCGATCATTGAGAATGTAAATCGAACTATGTTGGTAACTTAAGAGATAAATTGTATTTCTAAAATATCCATATATTTTTTTAAAAAAATAGACAATTTTAAAATCTTAAAATATGGTTTAATCTTGTTATGAATCACACTCTATCTTATACCTTAGAATTGTTTGAATCTTCTATGGTCTCCTTATGTGTTTATTTGCTAGTATGTGCTCTCGTTATCCATTATAATTAGTCTAGCTAATGATGTATATTTTAAAAATTAAACAAAATTTTGAAGATTAAATCAGATTTTATGATTTGTAATTGCATAGTTTTTCGACAAAATATTTCGATGATTTTTTGAAAAAAAAATGTAGGTCGATTTATCCCTAAACAATGAACATAGTTCGATTTTATCCCTCGTGGCTACTATGGCATCATGTAGAAGTAGAACGACTAATATTACACCACATCAAAAAAGCCACTATCTAAACCACTTAAAATGAAAAAACAAATAGTTTTAAAAGATAAGAAAATTCAGGGACCAAGAGGACTTTTTCGTTGAGGGATATGGCCTCGGAAGGACTGGTAAGTCGTATGAAGACGTGGGCCGACTGACGGTCCAAAAATAACCAGGCCCAGTATACAATCTTCTCTTGTGTTTTCTTTTTTTCCCCCACAAAGTCTTCGTATATTCATGCGACTGTTTATGGATGAAGTACTAATAATCCCATTACAGTTTGAGAAGCATTTTCCCAACAGACCAAAGGTTCGCTGAACATTAAAAAGAAATACAGAATCTCAGCTCACCAAACGACCTGAGTTACACCACGCTCAATAGATTGTAAGTGCGAGACTTGCTCCTGGTGCCGAAATTGTAATGCCTGTCACATGTACCTTCTTCAGATTTGTTTTCTTTAGGGAGCCACATAGGTATTCAAATTTACGGCGCACGCAAGAAAGTTCCAGCATCGTAAATCTGATCGGGCTGGACATATCTCATGTTATACATGGAAACCTGTTTCATACGAGTAATTTCGTTGAATCCCTAAAGGAAACAAATAAAATTGAAATAAAACAACAGAAAAGCAAAAGCAAAAGCAATATTCTAGACTTGTTCAGATGAACTCCTCGATGCATGGTTCTTTCAAGTTCAACAAATTTTATCAAAGACACGAGTTGGCTTCGACAAAGATCAAAGGCACTCATGAATGTTTAGCATATTATAGATCAGATCAAAGACAACTAGAAAGAAATCTACAGCGAAAAGCAACCAACAGGGGCTACAAACCAGCTACGAAATGACCAAAGGACCTGAGCTACACCACGCTCAACAGAGTTTAACCCACCTAAGGCCTTGTTTAGATGCGCATGTATTCATCTCGATCCACATGTGTTGAAGTGGAATTAAACTAAATTCCATTCCATTCCACTCCAACACATGTGGATTGATGTGGATACACATGCATCCAAACAAGACCTGATACCAAGTTCAACAAAAGTTAACACCAACATGCAAATAAGAGTTCACATATTTTGCAAGGGAGTCCTGCAGATCAAACATATTCATGACTACTAATACTACTAATATGTCCCACAGATCAAGGGTAGAGGTTGGCATACAAGATCTCATCCACGTCCACCTTTAGTAAGACGGCGTTGGCGGCTGGCCCGAAACTCTCGATCAGATCGGCGATGTCATCGTCCATCGAACGCGGCGGAAAACCCTACTCCACACTCCGAGGTTCAGCGATGTGCCAATCTGAAGCTAGGCAGCAGCCAGCGCCGTGGCAGCCCCCTGATGAACGACTTCGGTCACCATGGCTCGAATTCGGGCCGGCAGGGTTTAGAGGTGCTCCTCTACGGCCAATAGATTATCCACTCTTCCAACGGGGACGGTCGCGTTACAGACGGCTAGCATGGACATCTGCAGGGTGTCGACCCGCGTGCTCAGTACCACAACAAGGTTCATCATGTGTTGGGCCTGCTGCTGGGCGATCGCCAAGTTGGCTCGCGCCTAGGAGGCTAGATTCTTGGAAGCTTGAAGTGTGTCGCGCGCGGCATCCAGCTCACCACGCAACGTCTCGGCGTTCAGCCTGGTCGATGACAAATCCGCTTGGACCTCACGGTAATCCTTCAATAATTAACGATACTCTACATCGTCTGAGGATTCACGCTCTTCTGACGATTCACCCACTTTAGAACCAGAGGGCTATGCGGGGATAGACGGCCTCGGCGGCGGCAAGCGGCGATGGGATGACTCTCCTGCACCACTGGGGGAAAGCCCCATGACCTAGGATGGCGCCGCCATGGAGGAAGCACTGCACAATGCAAGCCAAGTTCAAGCCCATATAGGATAAGGGGGAGGGCGATCTGATTGACAAGGCAAACGACTTTTACCGAACTGAACAACGCAGCATGGCACGGAATCGTGGGTGGCTGCCTAAATCGGGGGATGCCTCACGGGGCCGATTTTCGAGCGCGACCATGGATGAAGAACCGAGCACCAGGGTGAACAAGGCTTGGGATGCCATCATGCCCATGAACACCTGTTAAGATAGTAGGCAAATTCCAAATACTAGTTAAATTAAACAGCTTGAACACAAATACTAGTGTGAGCATTGCTCGCATACTTTGTTAAATGAAGATAAACAACATGAAGAGTGGTGATGATCTACCTCGAAAGGGGGAAGTGGTGGGTTAGAGAGTAGGCCGATGAGAGATCCATCTGTCGATGGAGGATTGCCGACGTTGAAGGCCTCCGAGGACTCCACATCGATAGACAACCTCGTCTGCTCCACTATGGTCCTGGAAGGAGGCGTCGACAACATAGTAGGGTGGAAGGCAAAAGCTTTGGGATGAAATCAGGAGCTCTAGAGAGAGAAGGCAATAGGTATAACCTTCCCTCTCGCCCTTATCTCTGCTGTTATAGTTTGGGGGCCGTCGATCACCCCACAACCGAGACGTTTGTGTGTGTGGGTGGCGGGGCTTCACCGCGTCACGTCAATGCGATGTGCCGGGAGGCGACGTCCCCTGCTGCAATAGGCTGCTGACGCCACCCATGCACGTGCACCTGCGTGGGTAGTCAAGATTTCAGATGGCCGGACCTTGTGTGATCCTATAAAGTATAAAGTTTCTAAATAAAAATAATCCTTGATGCATGGTTCTTGCAAGTTCAACAAATCTTATCAAATACACGAAAATAAGATGAGTTGGGTTCAACACAAATCAAAGCCACTCATGACTACATATACTACTGATATAAATGTTGTGACCGAGTGCACTCCGTAGGCAATAGTTTTACTCATAGCTCTATACTGTATAGTATCCGACGAGATCAATTGTGCCGTATTTGGACTTTCTTGCGAGCATAGTAAAATATGAGAGTGAAGCGAATGCGTCAGAAAAGCTGGACACAAGAAGTGATTCCGGAAAAGGAGCTTTTGACATGCTTGAGACTTGAATGCTTGGTGCGGTTGTGATAGGTCTTTTCTGTACTTATTTGATTCCAATCCAAGTGATTCCAGAAAAGGAGCTTTTGACATGCTTGAGACTTGAATGCTTGGTGCGGTTGTGATAGGTCTTTTCTGTACTTATTTGATTCCAATCCAAACAGTCACAGCAGTCGAGGGGCAGGCTGAAGGCGTGTCCGGCTCGGTTAGATTTACAATGCTCGGACCATCATAGGGACTCTAGGGCAAGGCAAGATAAAGATTTTTTTCCAACCGGTGTGCTTCGCCTCGGGTGCTGTCGCACTCCCTCGGGAACCTCAACCAGTCGTACCATAGACGGTGTTTTGACCAGAGATGCAGGAGTATTGATGTTCCCAAACGTACACTGATGAAAACAGAGCACGTCTCCTCCATTTACGCCGATGAGACGACATCAGTCTCGGCACTGGTTTTTACTACATGTTAGCTCCTCCACTAATGCCCCAACAGTGTGTGCACTCCTTGCGTTTGTGACAACACCAGAAACACAGAAAAAGAAAGCCCCCCCACCACCACCAT